TATATATATATATATATAATCTGAAGATTTTTTCAAGTTTTGTGGTGTTTTTTTTGAGTGGGAGGGAGAGAGAGGGAGAGAAAGAGTGCATGAGTGGGGGAGAGGCAGAAAGAGAAGGAGAGGGAGAGAATCTCAAGCCCCCAATGTGGGGCTTGAACTCATGAATCTTGAGATTATGACCTGAGCCAAAATCAAGTGTTGGCTGCTTAACTGACTGGGTCACCCAGGTGCCCCAAAAAGTGCTTATATTTTTGAGACTGCCAATACTATAAGGTACTTGAGAACCGAGATTTAAGAAGAAAACTGGCACTGGAAAGTTAGCAAAACCTGCTAACTGGGAATAAAACTTTAGGTGACTAACATTTTTCTCAATTGGTAGCCAACTTTTATGCTCGCTTCGGCAGCACACATACTAAAATCTGTAGCCAACTCTTAAAAGGAGCCTAGAGTCTGAGGAAGAATCATCTAGACAGGCCCTAATTACCTGACCCACTCAGTCTTCTAAGCCAGCCTGGTCAGCAGGTTTTCTTGACTTGAATCCCAGTGGTCTGGCAGATGACCTGGGAGAACAGAGGGAACACTTCACTCCTCAAGGCATCGATATTACCGCATCTACTCCTGTCAGATTCAGGTTTTAACAATGCAAGGGGCCTTGGAGTGAGTCAATGAAACCAGCCAACCAGGCATTTCCGGGAGCCAAAGCGTGGCCTGAGGACTACTGACTGAGGGCAGCATCATGGTCCAAAGAGAAGTGCAGGCCTGGAAGAAGGAAGAGCAAGAAGAAGAAGCAAGAATGTTGCAGGAACAGGGAACACAGACAGGGCTGCCGGGAAGAAATGCCAAAAGGTGCCTATCATTCACCAGCAGCAGAGAAAGGAGCAGAAAGCAGAGAATGCTGGGAAACCAGTGGGGTCAAGAATCAGTGACTAGCCAAGTGACCTCACATTTTCACATCAAAGAATTTTATATCAGCAATTTTAGAAGCCACTAGAAAAACTAAAACATAATGTTAAAAATTATTGGTTTTTATCACAAAATACCCTGCAACCTCCCTTCCCCTTACATATACCCATCAGGAGGGTACAGAGGGAAAGGGCCATTAGGAAGTTAGGGCTATGGGGACTTTTTCTCCTTCTACTCATGAGACTTATGGGATGGATGGGGAAGGGAGGAGAGAGCAACACAGGAAGAAGAATAAGAAGGAGAAGAAAGAAAAAAAGATAAGAAATAAGAGATGGGAGAAATGAGGCCCAGGAGGAAAAAAAATTTGCAGTGGAAGTATGAAGTGAAGCAAGGAGGAAGGAAATACAACTGATCCTTGAAAACATGGGGGTCAAGGGGCACTGACCCCCACCACCATCCTGTGCCGTCGAATTTACATATAACTTTTGACATCCCAAAAACTAAACTACTGAGAGCCTACTGTTGACCAGAAGCCTTACCAATAACATAAACAGTCAACACATATTTTGTGTTGTATGTATCACATACTATATTCTTTCCATAAAGTAAGCTAGAGAAAAGAAAATATCATTAACAAAATCAGAAGGAGGGGCACCTGAGTGGCTCAGTTGGTTAAGCATCTGACTTTGGCTCAGGTCATGATCTCACGGTTCAGGAGTTCAAGCCCCATGTCAGGCTCTGTGCTAACAGCTTAGAGCTCAGAGCCTGGAGCCTGCTTCAGATTCTGTGCCTCCCTCTCTCTCTGCCCCTCCCCTGCTCACAGCCTCTCTGTCTCTCTTTCTCTCTCAAAAACAAATAAACATTTAAAAAAATCAGAAGTAAAATACATTTATTGTATTGTACTGTATTTATGAAAAAATACCCACATGTAAATGGACCTGCACAGTTCAAACCTGTGTCGTTCAAGGTCAGCAGGTAGAGGGAAAGGTGAGTGGGAGTAGGAAGCACATGAGAGCTTTAAAGAGGACTAAGTGATCATTTTTACCATCTGAAAGGAAATACATGCTTACTTTAAAAAATACAAAATAATGGGGCGCCTGGGTGGCTCAGTCCGCTAAGCGTCTGACTTCGGCTCAGGTCATGATCTCGCGGTCTGTGAATTCGAGCCCCGCATCGGGCTCTGTGCTGGCAGCTCAGAGACTGGAGCCTGTTTCAGATTCTGTGTCTCCCTCTCTCTCTGACTCTCCCCCGTTCATGCTCTGTTTCAAAAATAAATAAACGTCAAAAAAAATTTAAAAATACAAAATAACAGGGAAAAATTGTAATTCCACCACCCAAAGATTATCACTAATTCCATATTTGTGTCAAAACCTTGAATATCTTTTTCAAACCATAGAGGTGTGGGGTTTTTTTTCTTTTTCTTAAAGGTTTTTAATGTTTATTTATTTATTTATTTTGAGAGACAGAGAGCAAGCAGGGGAGGAGTAAAGAGAGAGGGAGAGAGAGAGAATCCCAAGCAGGTCCTGCACTGTCAGTGCAGAGCTTGATGCAGGGCTTGATCTCACAAACTGTGAGATCATGACCTGAGCCGAAATCAGGAGTCGAT